TCCCTAACTCACTGGACCCTCTCACCCCGGCAGACTGAACTCCTTGATCCTGGAACAGCTTATCCAGGGGCAAAGGCCATGGGCCTCACAGTATCCACTTAGAAACAGGGACTTTGTCATCTTAAGAGGGCTGGCCCCCCTCTCAGCAAAGCCCAGAATGCTGGGCTGGGCCAATCATGATGCCCAAAGGAAACCATTTTGAAATCAGTGTTAAATAACTGCCCTCAGAGGAGAGGACAAAACAGATGCTCTAAGAACGAGCACCCTGGCTCCCACCCTTGAAAGTGCTCAGTTGAGGATGTGTGTTGGGCTAGGCTTATGTGGAGAGATGTCTCCATCAGGACAGAGACTTTTACAGCTAAAGGCAATCTTAGGAGTCTCCATTCTAACCCAAAAGATGCCCATTCAGAGAAGCAGGGTGTGAACAAACCCTTGCAGTCTCCTTGGCCTGTCTCCATTCATTCAAACAACCCATGTTTTTTGAGGGCCTATTACACGCCGGCCAGTGCTATAGTACTGTAAGCACTGGGGATTCTGCATTGAACCCAACAGGCAGGCAGACATTCCAAACAGGCAAACTGACTGGTAAATGTGCCAGTCAGTTTTCCATCTCTATGACAAATACCTGAGATAATCAACTCATAAGGAGAAAAGGTTTATTTGGGCTCACAGTTTTAGTCTGTGACTGGTTGGCCCAACTGCTTTGGGGGCCTGTGGCCAAGCAGCAAATCAAATCAGGAAGTGCCTGGCAGAGTAAAGCCACTCAACTAACTCATGGCTGGGAAGCAAAGGAAAGGAAGAGAACGGGACTGGGGTCCCATTATCCCCTTCAAGGGTATGAACCCAATAACCTGAAGGTCTCCCACCAGGCCCCACCTCTCACGGTGTCTACTACCTCCCAACAGCACCACCCTGGGGACCACGCCCTTAACATGTGGGCCTTTGGGGAAACTAAGGCTCCAAACTGCAGCAGTAAACAAATAAATACAGGAAACAATTGCAGGCGTCAAAGATGGTTCTAAAGCTGGGCAGGTGATGTAGCTTGGTGCAGGAGTGCTTGCCCAGCATGCATGAGGCCCTGGGTCCCATCCCCCCACCGCAAAACAAAAGGTTACAGGAAATAAAAGATGTTGACATGACTCAAGATGTGAGGAGGCCCTTTTGTGCTGGCTCCTCTGTAGGATCACTGACGCCAGTAGTGTGACAAAGCAGATTCACAATGGCTTGCAAGAGCCACATGTTAAAGTTGTTGTTTTTTAATTCACACACAATCATTTATACACATTCATGATGTGCAGTGTGATTTTCTTTTCAACTCACATATACAACATTTAGTGATCCGATTATTAGAATTTTCAGGAAGCTGGCAAGCCAGTTGTTAAACACAGCCAATACCAAAAACTTCAGTTAGATACATTTAAATGAGTTACACTAAGAACAAAGAAAATAAGAACTCTTCACTTTCTAATCATCTTATTACATTGTACCCTATGGAGGTTACTTATCTATTATATCCAGGCAGAGTGGAAGATACCAAACCACAGGGCAGGGCTGCACACCTTCTCTCAGCTCCTCCAGCAGCAAGTGAGAAAGGGCTGGGGTGGACATATTTACACCATGGAAACGGGCCTGGCCTTTGTGTCTTGAAGAGTTGGCCATCAAACATCTGCAGGCACCACACCGCCCCCCAGTCCTCTGTGTCTGAGGGAGGCTGCATTTCCCAGTGGGCAGCAGGGGGTACTCTCCTGGGGACAAGGTGGGTGCCCCCTCTCTCTTTAGGCCTCTGCACTGAGGAAGCAGGTCTGGGATGCTAAGCAGATCGTCTGCCCTGCAAGACAATGGACCTCTGCAACTTCAGGGATCAAAAATGTGTAAGAGGTGACTTCCTGTTATTTGTTTCTTTATTTTTGACAAACCAAATCCTGTTTTTATGAATCCTGGGGAGATGAAGATTTAGAGGAGCCTTGCTGAGAATCTCCTTGTAAGAAACGCCTATGGCCGCTCCTGAATTCCTCTAGGTTTTCATACATTGGATTTCTTTCCTTTGAGGACACGGCTATGGTCATAATAGTTGAATGAGGTCACTCAGCTGTTCTACAGCCAATAATGACAACAGCAGCTGCTACTTCATAGCGACATATGGCTCTAAAATCAATCCAACCCATTTCACACATGAGAACGCTGAGGTTCAGAAGTTCAGTGAATTGAGTGAGGTCAGGCTGCCCCTCTGTAAGTTCCCCTCAGGGCTCTGTGCCCCCCTCTTAGACCTGTCGAATTCTGAAGCACTATGAAGTCCCCATCTCTGGTGGCACTGATGGACTTGGTGGCTGCCCAATTGGTGTCAGGAACCTCCCCATCCACTACCAGGGAAAAACAAGATGGAGCTTCCCCTGTTCATCCATCTGCACCTGGAATGCAGGAGCAGGACCTAGGCCTTGACCAGTCAGCAGCTCCGCATCCCAAGGAGGTGGCAGGGAAGCTGACATGGAGACACGTTGTGTACAGCAGCCCTGGGGGCCGCTCCTCCACAGACCCTGCGGTGTGTATTGCCCAGCCTTTGTCGGTTCTGCTGGCCTGGTTTTCCAGGGAGCTGTGAAGGAAATCTTTCCCAGGGTGCCTCTTCTGTCTCTGGGAGCTACAGGCTCCTTCTGTTGCTTACAACCACAATGTCTGACAGCTCCACCTTCTCAGGAGCTACTAAATATTCTCAGTCCCAGTCACTGAGCCCTTCCCATGTGGAATTTACATGACGGCCACAGAATGAATTCCATTCAATTTGCATTAGAAATATCATTTCTCCCTTCCTTTACATGGCTCTGGCTGACATACGAGAACCGAGTTTGTTACACAAGATATCAATCTATAGACGGCCATCAGCAAACCCAAACCCTACTCCCGTTCTCAAGGACCCAAGTCCACCTTAAAAGGAACCCTGCCCCTCATTTTGGAAGAGTCCTGGCTTCCCCTCAGATGCCAGGGACAGCTGGCCTGCCACTTGAGGACTCGGGATGTCCCTGAGGCAGGAGGAAGGCAGGCAGCTGCTCTTCCCACATTGCCAACCCAGGCGTCACCACTCTGGGCAGCTGTTTGTCATCCTGGACTTGCTTCTTCCTCTATGTTCCTCTGTGCCCTCCAGTCACCGGGGCCCTCCCTCTGGGTTCTCGAGAACCAGAGGGACACCAGGATGGTTGTTTCTCACTGCCTCTTCCTTTGCCTGAAACACAATTCCCTCTGCACCCCCAATGTAAAGGTGATGTCCTCAGGGAAACCTGCTCTGGCCACCCCCCACAGAGGATCAGGCCCCTGTGACAACATTCTTCACCTCTCTCTATACAATTATGTCTTCACCACTGTCTCCCAAGCTGAATTCCAGCCTCCATACGGGCAGGGATTGTGTATCTCATTCACCACTACATCTCACTTCTTGCCCAGCACTTCGTAGGTGCTCAGTAAATCCTGGGTGACTATTAAGTGAAGGAAAGGACGGAAGGCAGCTCGGTGGATGTTGAACAAGCACAAGTCCCCATAACAGGTGCATCTCCTAAAGCCTTAGCTCCTGGTGCCCAAACTCCCAAGAGGAAGCTGAAAACTTGGGGTCCCTCTGGGGATAACAGCTGCTTCTTCCTTGTAGGTTTGGGTTTAAGCATCCATTTCCTGTGGGTTTGGACTTCCTTTTCGGGCCTTTTTTCCAACTGCAGAGAGAAGTTTGCTGGGTCTGTGCTTTGTGCCGTCTGGCTGACAGGGACACTGAGTGGCTACGACCACCTCACCTTCAGCCCAGAGCATCTCATCCCTAGGGAGAGCCCCACCCAGGGTGGTTAAAGCAAGACTCCCAAGGATGGGAGCACCCAGGCTGAGATGGGTAAAAACTGGTCTCAGAGTCTGGCCTCTTACCCCAGCCTCTTCCACCTAGAGCTTTCTCTCTGGCTGACTTCTGTCTGAGCAGCACCAACCAGGAACCCTCTTCTGTGCCCCAGTGAAGGTCACTACAGCTGCCCCCAGCATCCCTCTACCTTCTGGGAGCCACCAAGGGCTCCAGCCACACTAGAGGCAAATCTGGCTTTCAGGCCTCAGTTCTACCTGTGTGGGGGGCGGGGGGAGGTGGGTGCTGGGGATCGACCCAGGGCCCTCCACCACTGAGCTACGTCTCAAGCCCTTTTTCTTTCTTATTTTGACACAGGGTCTTGCTAAGTTCCCCAGGCTGGCCCTGAACTTGTGATCCTCCAGCCTCCACCTCTCCAAGTCTCTGGGATTATAGGCACGTGTCACCTAGCCAGGCTTCTACCATTAATTCTTTGAGAGTCTTTGTCCAAGGCCTTAAAACTTGAAGCCTCAGTTTACTCATGTGTAAAATCAGGAAATAATGTCAGCTCTTCCAACTTCACAGGGCTTTTTTTGTGAGGCCCAGGTGAGATAAGTATGTGGTCTCTCACTTCTCAAATTGTCAAGCAGTGTAGAGAACTGTCATTATAATGATTCTGAAGTTAATTTTCTGTTTTCCCCACAGTCTTACTGTCATCCAACTAAGCTGACCTCTTCTGGGTCCTTCTTTCCACCCACCCTCTCTATACCACTCAGCTCTCTTGGCCACATTTCCCAGAAGCCCTCTCTCTGAGCTGGGCCTTGCTCCAAGTGGCAGTTCCATATCTTTTCCTGTCATTCACATCTGCCAACCACACACAGCTTCGTAAAAGAGCCACAGGAAGCACGTGCCTCCCACCCAGGTCCCTTGTGAATGCTGCTGAGGGGTTCCCCCGGGGCACAAAACTGTGAGGGTGAGGCACTGGCTCTCCACTCCCTGCTACCCATGCCTCTGCTTTATGAGACTCTGTTTGGCAATAAAAGTTAACATAGAGGTTGCTAAAGCCCTAGTCCAGGAAACTCCCATGGCCTGTCTGGACTGCATGTCCCTGGGTTCTGAGGCCTCTGCATTGCGTTAGGACAAGCTGAGCAGATCAGCTCTTTGGCTGGAGATTAACACAATATAGTTTAACTTCCTCTTTTTTTTTTTCTTTCTTAACTGGAAGGATTTTCAGAAATAGTTCTGGGTTAAACATACTGACCTTTTGCCTGCAACCCATGAACTAAATCTACATAGCTCTTTGGCTTCCGAAGGGAACTCCACCGGCCTCCCTTTCAGGAGTGATGCTCCCATCAGCAGACTCAGGGCACAGGCAGAGGGGTGACACACCTTGCCCCAGGTCTGACAGTCATTAAAGATGCAGCTCAGGCGGCAGGTCCCCCAGGCCATACCTGACCACCAGAGTGTGTCAGGTACAGAGCTCTGTGCTCATGTGAGTAGTGTACTCTTTGAAGGGAAGAAAGAATGACATGTGGCAAAACTGTAGCTGGGGCTGTGTGTGGCAGGATGCCCAGGTGCTGGGGCATGGGGGGCAGGGGGAGGAGGGGATGCTTCATTCATGGGGTGGGCGCAGGCACAGGATGAAGGCATTGGCCTCCCAGAGAACGCGCTGATGAAGCTAGGTCTTCAAAGTGGGAATCTGTAGGTGGATTTGTGGAGGGTGCAGCGAGAGCGCTTTAAGCAGGAGCCGCAGCATGGAGGAAAGGCTGCAGGCGTAAGCCAGGAGCGGGTTCCAGGAACGGCAGTAATTCCTGAGGCCAGAGAAGATGTTCTGAGGAGCGGGGAAACGAGGCCAGAAGTTCAGAGTGTAACTCGTGCAGGATCTTGGATGTCATGCAAAGGAATATGTGCTTTATCCTGAAGGCAGAGGGAGCCTTGGAAAGAGCAAAACACCCAGTGAACTGGTGCCTGGCAGGAAGACTTTGATGCAGTGTTGAAGTGTACTGGGAGAGACGGGCAGGAGACAACAGCCACCCTGGCTGAAGGGGGTGCATCTGAACTAAGTGGGAGCAGTGGGGCTGGACTTCGGAGGACTCTTTGGGGAGCTGGTAGAGATGAGCCACTACACCAGGCCAGAGATTTGGTGGTGGGGGTTGGGCGCTGTAGTTGGAATAAATTTCCTCCCAAGGCCCTTGTGAAAGCCTTGATCCCCAGCTTCTGGCACTGCTGGGAGTGGCAGAAGCTCTAGGAGGTGAAGCCTGCAGAAGTTAGGTCATTGGGGGTGTGCCTTTGGAGGGCATATTGGGACCCTGATTCTTTCTTTTCCTCTCTCCCTTTGCTTCTCAGCTGTTGTGAAGTGAATAGGCTTCCTCTGTCACGTGCTCCTGCCATGATGTACTCTGCCTCCACAGGTCCAAAGCTTCAGGTCCAAAACCACAGGACCAAGTGACCATGGACTGAAACCTCTGAAACTGTGAGCCTAAACAAACTTTTCCTCTTTTTAGGTTGATCCTCTCAGTTATTTTGTCACAGTAATGGAAAGTAATGGGAGATGACACCTAGACAGAGAGATTCTATTCCCAAAGATATAGAGACTTGAGAGGACATTTTGAGCAATTGTCTCAGACAGTAGGCTGTGTGAAGGGGATGAAGTTGGAGAGCAAGAGTTAGGTGGACACCTGTATCATTGAGTTTTAATAGTAAACTCTTATGGGTGGTTTTGCTTTGGGGGGTTTTAATTACTTATGATCAGCCATTCTGAAAGCATTAAATTGAAAATTCCAGAAATAAGCAAGTCATAAGTTTTCAACTGTGTACTACTGAAATGTGCATGCTAGTACAAGAAGAAATCTACCGCCATCCCACTTTGTCCATCCCAGGATGTGAAGCATCCTTCATCCAGTATATCCCCCACTGTATATATGTCTGACTTTAGTTACTAAGTAGCTAGAGGAAAAAACATAGTGTCCATAGGGTTTGGTACTATCCAAGATTTCAGGCATCCACTGGGGGTCTTGGACTCTATCCCCCACAGATTAGGGATCACTAGTCTATTAGCAAACACTTGGTCAATTGGATTATTGTTTCCAAATATTCATTCCCTGCCAATAGGCAAAGTATACATCTCTATCGAGTTGACTTTGGATCTGGTTATATGACTGACTATGACCAGTAGAAAGTGGGAAATGGCAGAATGGAAGCTTTAAGAGGTATCATATCATCTCTTTCTTATTCCAGCTTTCACCATAAAACAATATATACCAGACAGAAGCATCTCCCTCAGCTTGGGCTCCAGAATGAGAAGCCACTTGGAGCAAATTTTTGATCTCTCCGGCACCTAGAGCAAAGCCACAAAACCATGCCCTACAACTGTACTGCAGCTAATGCCTTGTGTGAATAATAAACAAACAGCTCAGAAACTAAGCTTGGGGTTGTTTGTTATGCACCATGATCGCATCAAAAGCTAAATGATACACGCTTATACATGAATGTAAATCCACACGTGCCATGACAAGGAGTTGTGAGCTGTGGGGAATCAACAAAGAATGTTCTCATTGGTGAGTCTTTGCATCTTACGCACAACCAGTTTCACAGAAGGAGACAATCCATTCTACTTCAAAGTCATCTCTCCCCATTGCCTCCTGCTCCTCCTAGCACCTGGTTTTATCCACCAGCCCTTCCCTCTCCTGGACTGAATCCTTCCCCTGAACCTATTCTTCACCAGTCTTTTCCATTTTAAAAATCCTTTCCTTTACCCTGTCTCCCTACAGCTCCCTACAGTTAAGTCTCTCTCCTGACCTTCTCAAATAAACTTCTTAAAAGAATTGACTGCACTGTCTCCATATCTTACCTTCTCACCTATCAGCCATCTAGCTTACTAGTGCTTCACCAAACCAGAACTGCTCCTAATCTCCTTATTGCCCAATCCAACTTCCAGGCTTTACTTGCCTAGACTGCTTTCCATCATTTGGCATGGAACTCAGTTCATTATCATCCCCCACCTTAATTGCTCAGCTTCTGAGCATGCATCAGTGACCCATGATAGAAAGCCACCGTGAGATAATGAATTCTTTCCTGGTCTTGTTGAGTTTACAGAGCCTTGCAACATACAAGAAGAAATACTCCAGGGGCAGTTAAACATGGATTGGGAGCCCAACATGTGAGGTGTGATGAATGCTGCAGAAGTCACATCTAAAACTATGAGCATTCCTCAACTTGCCCAGTTTGTAGAATATGTAAAGTACCAAGTCTGTAAATCCCCACTGATACACAGAGACCTCGCCGGAGCCCAGAAATCCCTATTCCTGTGGTCACCGTGCAACCACCACTTGGTTCCTTCTCTGCTAAATCATGGTGCACAGTGGCTCTCACACCACCATCTCATATTTCACCCCTGCTCATTCTGTCTTCTCCAAAAATTAAAATTTGATTGGAAAAACAGAAAGTAAAAATCACTAACCAGTTCATCAAAATAGCTAAAATAAAAAAGACCATCAACACCAAATACTGTCGAGAAAAACATTCCTAGTTGTCACATATTGCAGGTGTCCCAGCAACTCCACTCCCAGACTTGCACAAGAATGATCACATAATAGCGTCAAACTGGAAATAAGCAAGATATTCATTAGCAGAAGAGACAAACTGAGGTATATCCACACCTCGGAATACGATTCAGCATTAACAAAGTGCAGTTTGTTTCACATACAAAACATCACACCCAGTGATGTGATGTGAGACCTGAAAGAGTACATTCCAACAACAGGCAAAATTAATCAGTAAGAAAATCAGAAAATGGGGGCCTCACAGGGTAGAAGAAAAATTAACTGGAAATAGGAATTTTCTAGACTGACGCAGGTAAATATTTATGTCTCATTTGGGGCGGCTACACAGATGGAAACAACTTCAAAACTCATGGAACAAAACTCTTCAGATTGGTGGATTTTAGCATATGTAAATTATACTTTAGTTAAACATTTAAAAATAAGCAACTATAAACAATCACCAAAATAAAAAGAAAGCACAGGGCAGAAAACATTCATATTCAAACAAAATACTATTTCTGCTATAAATGCACCTGTATAAATGCCTAGTTAATACATTTCCCCGTTCAGCCATTGTCCCCCACCCCTACCCTGATCTGGATGACATCTGTCCCTTAGCCATTTTATAGTCATCCTGAGATATGCTGAAATGGAAGAACTCAAGCCTTAGAGCCAGGCGGAAATGTATTCAAATCCCATCTGCGATTTAATAGCGGAGGGGCCGCTAGTGGGTTACTCGCTCTCTGTTGAATCTTCATCTCCTCCACTATAAACCGGGTTAGTGGTGCCTAGCACACCCTGTTAGGCTGGGAAACCTGTGAGACCAACCCATATTTTAAAGTCCCACTAAAGGCCTGGAAGTACAGAGATTGCGAGTCATTTCTTCTCTCAGAAGGTTAGGAAGGCAGCCGAGGAGCCCTGGAGTTTAAATACAGGTGAGCTGGTGCCAAGAGCTGGGGGAAGCGGCTGCCAGAATCACCACGGCCAGGGAAGGCCACGGCTGGCCTAGGACTCCAGAGACAGGTTTCCCAGCAAGGTTCAACCACTGGAAGCCCTTCCCCTAATTGCTTTGCAGACCTTTGACCTCAGACCCTTGATCTCCTCATAAAATGACCAGAGAAGAAGGTATAAGGACACCTTCCCAAACACCCTCTGGAACTCACCAAAACAAAGAAGAGATAAAGGTGGACCTGAACTGGTTTTGTCAGAAATGAGAATGGGGGTGGGGTGGGGCAGAGCCCTGCCTTCTAGGTTCCCCTCCCCCACGCTGATGCTAGGCCTTCTGGGACACAATTTGAAATCTCCTGGAGCAGGAAATCCCTAGGGAGTCTTTCAGCTCTGCCTTATTCAGCCATTGAACATCTGTTACCTGTAACAGAGATAACTTAGACCTGCATCCTGCCCCATCTGGTAAGAGAGGCAAGATACTTCCCCCCAGAAGGTAGAAAAAGTGCTTAGTGTAGCCAGAAAAGCAGAGAAGTTAATCACGTCCTTTACCTCAGTCCCATTCAGGTCCTGGCCTCTGGCAATACACTTTGCATTTGCTTCCTGGGAACAAGGTCTCCAGCATAATCTATTTCTCAGTGGAGGAACCTGCGGGTCTGCCTGGGAAATCGTCTGCCTGCAAAAGCAGCAAGGCCAGGCCTCCACCCAGCATCTCCTGCCTCCTGAGACACACCTATTCCCAGGTACAATGAAGGAGGCAGCCAGGCCTGCTCAGGAGCCAGAAGGAGTGGGCGCAAACAGCAAGCAAAGCCACAAAGCCTGGGTCTCAGTTCCTTCCTGGGGGGAGGAGCAGCACTGACACCCTCTGCCCCGCCCCCACCCGCCAGAGGGAAAATCGGGGAATCTCAAGTTGCTCTGCTTTCTCTCTCTGCGCGCTAACATTTTCCCCCCTTTACTGTTTCTTGGATGCTTTTCAAGAGTTTGTGCAATCATTCTGTTTAGCTGTTTTCCTGCCATTTCCAAACGCGGGGTGGTGTCCTTCTTGAGTGGGAAAGAGGTAGTTTGAAAAGTTGAAGGGACCCTTTGCCTCCCTTCACCCCCACCCCCTGCAGCAAGCACTTTGGCTGCCCAAGTTATAGTGTCCGAAACTTTCCTCAGGCTGGGTTTGGGTTTGGCCCTTGGCTCTGCGAAACCCTGCTCTCCGGGTTGAGGCACCGCTCATTTTACGCCCACCCCAGCTCCCCTTTCCCAGAGGTACCCCCTTCCCATCGTGTCTCGGGCAAGAACCAGTCTCTGTCCTGCCGGGACAGACACCTCCTGCCTTTCAGGACTTCATGGGAGGGTCATAACCTGTGCTCCCCGCGAGCTCCCTCTCGTGCCATCCCTACCCTACGAACGCCAGGAGGGGCAGACCTGGGTCCGCAGTCTTGCAGGCGGTAATCTCCAAGGCTGGACAGAGGCAGAGACAGGCACAGTCTGGCGACAGACCGGATCAGATCTGGGCACCAGAGCAAACCACCAGAACAAAAGCTAGGGCCAGAGGCAGGGCAGGCACCGGGCAGGGCTGGAGCAACGGCCCGCCCCGCTCCCCCACCCCGCCACCTCCGCCACCCACGCGCGGAACCCGGAGCCTGGCCACTCAGCGCCAGGCTCCCCACGCGCGGCTCTCAGCTTCGGGGCTGGACCGGCGCCCCGGGGGACCCACCTGATCCTCTGAACCTGAGCGCCAGGGCCCGCGCGCGGCCGCGGGCGCTCGGGGCAGGAACGCGCCCTCGGCGGGTGGTCCCGGCGGCGCCCTCCGCTGACCGAAATGTCGCCGCGCCGCCTGGGCCGGAGGCGGCCGGGCGTGCCAGGGCGGGGTGCGCGCCCGCCCTCCCGCGTGGGCCCGTGGCGGGCCGGCGCCTCCTCCTGGCCGCGGGCAGCAGGCAGCAGGCTGCGGGCAGGGGCGCGAGGAGCCGGCGTGCGCTGGACAGCGAGCGCGCTCCCGTCCCGCCGGCCCCCGCCGGTCGTGCCAAGCCAGTCCCCGCCCCGGACACCGGCAGCTAGGAGGCCGGCCGCCCGGGCGCGCGAGGGCGAGGGCGTGTGTGTCGCCTGCTGGGGAGGGGGTGGTGTTTGTTTCATTTTCACTCAGGCAGAAAAAAGCCTGAAACCAGCAAAAAAGAAAATAAAGTCCCCGGTGAGGGTTGCTGAACCTCTTCTGCCTTTGCAGGCCCGCACGTGGTGATGATGGTGGCGGCCGAGAAGGGACCGGGCGGAGTGCGAGGGGGGCCGTTGAGGGGTGATCATCGGAGGGTGGGGTGGGATCTGTCACCCTGTACTGCGGGGAGGGGCTCGGGGGCCCTGGAGCACAGCCAAATGCTGGGGAAACTGACAGCCTGGGAGGTCGGGTCCACCGTGTGCTTCCCAGGGAAGGAAAAGGGCAGATAAAGACAGCAACAGGCTGGGAGGGCTGCTCTGGTGCCTCAGCTGGGGATGGGGTGGGGAGTCCCCCGAGTCCTGAGCTCCGGAAGTGAGCGGCTGGTCATCGGGCACTTAGCGCAGGGCCTGCCTCTGTTCATCCACAGACTCCATGGTCTTTGAGCCCAGAGTTCCTCAAACAGCCTCAGGGATTCTCTTCTAGAATTATTTAGAAGACAAGCAAAGAAATTTCTACTTCAGAGTTTGTGTTTCGTGGTTCACTTCCAGTGAATTGATGGAGGCACTTCAGGCTGCCTTCATTTAACTTGTCCCATACTGCTGAGGACAGTGGCCACCCTTGAGCTCATATAGATTTACTTTACTGGTAGAAAACTCAAATTTTTCTTTGCCAGGATTATTTGCCATTGAACATCATTTTCATAGGCTAAGAAATTAGCTTCTTAAATAATTGAATGTGTTGGAACTGTAACTTGACCCAGTGTGAATGGCACAGAGCATGGGATGACATATAATGTCAGTTGTCTCAGGAACAGAGGCCTGGTTGAGAGACAGGACACACAGAGCCAGGACAGGACAGGTGATGTCACGGAACTTCAGAGAATGGAGTTTCCTGGTGGGCCCACAGAGTACAGTGGTGGGAGAATCTAACCACCAGCCCCACATAGCCTCTCAGGAATGAGGAGCTCACGCTGCCAGCACAATGGGCCCTTTGCTAGAGGATAAATTGCGCCATTATTGTCTTTTGTGAACATACTTGCAATAGTTCATTAGCAGTGAGTGCCACAGTAAACACAGTGAGTGACGTGAGGCTAAGTGCATTATTTCCCACTTTCCATTACTGCATTTGAGAGAGCATTGTTCAAATTGCTGAACCCATCTAATTGGATTATAAACATAAAAAAAAAATAAGAGTATGAGAGTAGCTCAAATGATAGTCCATTGTAATCAAAATCAAAAGAAGACACAGAAAATATGACAGCTCCCCAAATCACTCTACTCCTGTTAAAGCCAATGTCAGAAGCTTACTTGGTCTCTTAATATGGTGATGATTTGAATTTTTTAAATTGGCTTGTGGTTCTGTTTGTATTTGCTTTGAAGACTTGTGTTGGTTTTATGTCGGTTGATAGAACCATGAGCATAAGAAAGTCAAGTTAAATTTTAGATTTATATCTACTTTAGTAAAAATTAAAAATAATGTGAGTCAATACTGGTCAGTTTTTGTTGTTGTTGTTGTTGTTTGTTTTCATTTTTTGAGAGGAACCATATAGTTCTCAAAGTCAAACTAGCAATTCTGCTGACCAAATGTCTGATCTGGAAAATACCACAAAGATTATCCGTGTTGGGTTTGGGGTCAGGAGCTCTGGCTTGAAGGTCTTTGATGAGTCACTCCACCTCTCCAAGACTCCTTCGCCTCATATGAAAATTTGGAGTAAGATGTCTAGTTTGTGGGAGAAATTAAATAAAAATGAGATGGTTTCAAGGAACAGACTTTGTAGCCTTCCCAGCATCACACAGCTGAGAGCCTGAGACATTCCTGGAGGAGAAGAGTGCGCCAGGCAAAGGCTTTGGTAGCCCTGACCACTTAATAGACATGGCTCTAGGACCTTTACATCAAGACTGGTTTACTCCCTGGCCCAAGCTATAAGGTGGACACTAATCACATCACATCCCCTTTCCCAGGGGAAAAAGGAGAGACACAGGAAATTTTTACTTTGCCATCTCTAGGCATGCCAAACACCCTAGGGCCCGAAGACTGTCCTCTCACTTCCTTTATTTTTTTATTTATTTATTTTTTTTGAGAGAGAGAGAGAGAGAATTTTTTAATATTTTTATTTTTTAGTTTTTGGTGGACACAACATCTTTATTTTATTTGTATGTGGTGCTGAGGATGGAACCCAGGGCCCCAGCGCATGCCAGGCGAGCGCGCTACCGCTTGAGCCACATCCCCAGCCCCCTTTATTCTTTCAACAGATATTTAGTGGTTCCCTGTATCTGTCAGCATGGAGGTCACAGGGCCATAGCTCAGGAGGAACTTGCAGCCTCCCAAGAGGCAGATAGCAAACCAGGAACCACCCAACTCATTGAGTCAGGACAGTGACGCCTGGGGCTCAGAGGGGGATCCAGGCTACAGAGATCTCTCCAGAAACAGATAACTGAGACCTGAGGAGGGAGTTGGCCAGAGGGACATGGGGGACAATTAACCCCAGCAGAATGGTGTGTGGAAGTCTCAGGCTGGGAAGAAAATGATTTGTGAGTTTTCTGGGAAGTTTCAACATTACAAAGATGGAAATTCTCCTCAAGCCACTGAAAACACAAACCAAAGCCCAGTCGAATTTTTGTGAAGTTTGATGAGCTGCTCCTCAAATTCAGATCAAAGGTAAAGGCCCCGAGTTAAATAAGACAGAGAGGGGGGGGAGGGCAGTTGCTTGACCAGTTATCAAGATGCACCATGCAGCTATAACGGTTTAGGCAGCACACCCAAGGGGAGGATGTTCCAAGGCACCCAGAGGATGCCTCACTTAATTTTTTGACTTTACAGTGGTGCAAAAGTACGTCTGTACAATCTTTCTGTTTTTCGCTTTCAGTGTAATTCAGGAAATTACAGAGGTATGTAATACTTTATGATAAAATAGGCTGTTGCATGATTTTGCCCAGCTACTGGCTAATGTAAGTGTTCTGAGCACATTTAGGGTACGCTAGGCTAAGTTCTTGTGCTTCACAAACAAAGTGTATTAAATGCATTTTCAACCTACATGGGACATACTCCCAATAAGTCCAGAAGCGTCTAATATAGAGTACTACGGTTTTTTTCCTGTCCCTATGAAGCTCTGCTGTGATAAACTTATAACTTAGGTCCAATAAGAGTTTCACAACAACTATTACAGCATGTTATAATAAAAATTATTTAAAACTTGTGAATCGTTTATTTCTGGAATTTTCCATTTAATATTTTCAGTCCATAGTTGACCCTGGGTAATTAAAACCCCAGAAACTACAGTGTTAATACTAGGATGGATAATTACACCAATGGATCAGGATCAGAAGCCTTGAAAGAGAGACTCACACATGTGTGGAGGCTGGGTCTGCTACAGAGGTGGAACTGCAGATCTGTGAGGGGAAGAACAGATTGTGCAAAATGTGTTGTTAGCCACTAAGACTGTTGGAAGCTGGCGTGCAAACAAAACATTCGTACAGAAATGTTCGCGGCATAGCCACTCACAACAGCCAAAGAGTGGAATCAGCCCATGTCCGTCAACAGTGCACTGGATAAACCGAATGTGTCCTGTCCTTGCCCTGGAATATTACACAGCTTCAGAAGGAATGGAGTGCTGCGACCTAGTGCAACAGGGGCGAACTTTGAAAACAAGGTGCTGCGTGAAGGAAGCCAGACTCAGAACACCATGTATTGTATACCTTCATTTATCTGAAATGTCCAAAATAGGTGAATTCATAGAGACAGGAAGCAGGTAAGTGGTTGCTGGGGCTTGGGGTTGGGGAGGGGCAGAGCCTCCCTAATGGGAACTAGGTTTCCTTTTGAGTTGATGGCTAAGATGGCTAAGGCTCTGAAACTAGATAGTGGTAACAGTTACACAATGTTCTAAATGCTGCTGACTTAGGCACTTGAAAATGATTTAACCAAGGTAGGTTGCGGCTCTGCACGTTTGTAATCCCAACTACTTGGGAGCCTGAGGCAGAAGGGCCACAAGCTTGAGGCCAGCCTGGGTGGCTTATAAAGATCCAAGTCTCAAAATAAAATAGAAAGGGCTGGGGATGTAACTCAGTGGTAGAAGAGTCCTCAGTTCAATTCACGGTACCTCAAAAATAAATAAATAAAATGACTTACCATTTAAAATATGATTTTACGTTATATGAATTATACCACAATTTAAAAAAGTGTTAGCTATCCATACAAAAAATTAAAAAATAAGATCCCTTACACACACACACACACACACACACACACACACACCCTCCCTCTCCCCTACCCCCTGCCTCCATGTACTATGTGGCTAAAAAGACCAGAAAGGAGGAAATTGAAAGGTTTTAGAAGAAAATAATCTTAGCGCTTCAGAATAGATAAGCATTTATTTAAATGTGCACACACACACACACACACATGAGCACTGCCTGTGAAAAAATATAGATCAAATTTTCTACGTTAAAATGCTGAGCAAATTAAGAACCAGATTCAGAGATCAAGAGAGAGATTCGCAACCTCAGTAGCCAGCCGATGATTGGCACGACATAAAGAACTCCAGCCCACCATCAGGGAAAGACAGTCTTCCTCCATTTTCCCATCAGACTAAAGTTCTGGATGACGTGTCACCTGGTCAGGCACTCTGTCACAATGCAACAGACACAACTTTTTGATTAGCAGCACACCCACAAGTCAGTGGCCCCATCTCAGCCTGGGGCCGCACCCCCAGGACACACTCCCAGGCACGCAGAGAAACGAAATAACCAGGTGCTGCTGATGGGGGGCAGATGCCTGAGAGAAGGCAGAGCATGCCGGGAGATTCCTAACGCTCCAGCCGGGCCTGGATGGCGGGCTGCTTGAGAGCAGGGTCACCTTGGGCTCATTCTTTTGACCTGTGACTTGGTAAACATCTTGTCCACTCCTACAGGGTGTCCTCTTCCCGGGGCACTTGGCCTCCGGCCTCCACCTCTCGGCCTGCCTTCCTCTCTATCAAAGTGCTTTGCCACCTCAGCTTCTCCATGTCAGGAGCACTGAGGTGAGGTGGCCTCTGGCAGCAGGGTTTGGAATGCACAGCCAGAAGGTTCTTGGCAGGGAAAACTGCCTCCTAGGGACCTCGGCAAGAACTGTCCAGAAGCATGGGCAGAATCAATATCCCTGAAGTTCGATGGGTCCTTCTCACAGAAACACTGAATGAAGAGCATCCCCAACTTTCCTAGAACCAGAAAAACACACAGCCCTGGGCCCCCAGAGATGGCTCGTCCGGCCTCATTTACAGATGAGGAAATGAGATCCAGATGGAGGAGTGACTTCTCAAAACCACAGACAAGGAATTTGCAGAGCCAGGATTCTTTCCTAAGGTGCTCACTTACCCAGAGGCAGGTGGGGAGACACCCAGGTGCACAGGGGAGGGACCTTTCAAGAAGCTACCAGAGGGTGGAGATAGCCAGGAAAGGCACAGGTGAGGTGAGACCAGGCTCTGGGAGGAAGTGGGTGAGCAGAGCTTTGGGGAGAGGACTCCAGGCAGAGAGGACTCCCTGGGGCCTGGTGCAAGGAAAGCAGCTCCAGGAGGTGCTGGGGAGCTGCATGGCCAGCCAGGGGGACACAGTCCAGGGGTCACCACAGACAGGCTTAAGGAGAAGACCGGGGGTGCACATTTTATTCCATCATTAGGGAGGAGGCTCTAGAAGATTCCCCAAGAAGGGAGGGTAAGCTGCGTACAGTGGTGCACACTTGTGATCCCAGCGATCGAGAGGCCGAGGCAGGAGGATTGCAAGTTCAAGGCCAGCCTTACCAACTTAGACCCTGTGTCACAACAAAATAAAACAAAACAAAATTTAAAAGGGCTGGGGATGTAGCTCCGTGATAGAGCTTCCCAGGGTTCAACCAGAAGAGGAAGGAGGTGGGGATTAAGTTGGAAGGGAAGTCTCCTGCCCTGGCCAAGCAAGAGTCACTGCTGAGAAGTTAAGTTATAGGGAAGGAAAGAAAGAAGGGAGTAGAGGAGAGAGAGAGAGACTAAAATAAAGAGCAGATGGACAGGGGTCCGGAGGAAAGAGGGAAGAAAGAGAAAGCAAGAAGGCAAGCAAGAGAGGCTTTCTGGCTGCGGACTGGCCACAAAACCATAGCTTTTCTTCTGGTTTGACCATAAATAAGATGAGCTGTCCATCAACATCCCTGTCCCTCGTTGACTCCCCCAAAGAAAGTGCTGCTAAAACCATTATTTCCAGGGGAGGGAATGTTCTCTCTCTTTACCTAGTTGTGTACTTGGAAGTCTTCCGTTTTCTAAGGTTATTAAATTCCACCGCTGGCATTTACATATCTAATTTTAAAAGGCAGAAACAAGGAGAGAGCCAAGTATTTTTATACCCTTGGGTTCATTTTTTAAAAACTGTCTGTGTTCCGGGGCCAAAGAATTCGACCAGTTGAAAAAAAAAATTTACCTGCGTAACCAAAATTTATAAACTCACATTCCATCAGTTTTAAAAGTCTCCTCTTCCCAAGTCTTACAAGTAAGGTCATAGAAGTAATTAATTCACTTGAGTGAGAGGAAACTTTTGCAGTAAACCATTTTATATTTTATATTTCTGAATTATTTCTCCATGACAATGTCTTACCTGTTTTTAAAATTAAGTACATAAACAATATGTGAAAGCACAAATATAAAAAGTTAATGTATTGGATCTTCTCAAGATTTTGAAGAGTGTCTTCTTTAGAAATAAAAGGTGAATCTAGTAGGACGAGCCTGGGATCAGTCTGGGTTCTAATTCCATCACCACAATTCCATAGGCTGTGCAACTTTCAGAGGAAGAAACCTCTCTGGGCCTCAAAACTCTTATCTCTACAATTGGAATAATCATCTTCCTTCCCCAGGGATTTATAAAGATTTAAAAAAAAATGACACAATGTATGTATATGTTCTTGCAAAAGGGACTCTAAATACAACAAGGCACCAAAAAAATGTGAGCTCCTCTTATTCGTTATCTAAACAGATTTTTAAAAAACGTTCTTTAGCCACCAAACCCTGCAGGAACAGGGTTCCCCATCCTGCTGTTCTCTCTTTGCCAACTTAACCTCTCACGCAGGTCTCAGCTCAGATACCACCCCGCTGTCTGGTGGTCCCCTGCTACCACTCTTCCCTACTCCGGGAATTCTAGCCACAGGCTCCTTGGCGTCATCTCTCCAACAGGTCAAGCCCAGCCACACCTGACCCTTGCGCCTGCCACTCCTTCGCCTGGGACCCCCTACCCCCTCATCCCTGGGCTTTCCCGCTCCCTGTGTTCAGGTCCCTGCAGAAGCCACATTACAGCACTTGGCCTCCTCTGCCACCCCTATAAGTGACTTGCCACCCCGTCACACTCCCTGTCCCCGTAACACACCCTGCTTTCTCCTTCCCCATGGCACTTAGGGTCACGACATTCTGCTTAGATGGATGTGGCTGGGAGGAGCTCCTCAGGAGGGCAGCGATTCCTCAGCTCCTGGCTCTCAACATGTCTTAGTGAAGGTGATGGTTGGATCACACGCCACCCGCTCCCCGTGCAGCCAGGCCTGGGGCAATCTCCTATTATGCACCTTGGAGCATCCGTGAACAAATGAGTGAATGAAGGAAAAGGTAAGGCCTTCCTGTGACAATGAGGATGACAGACAGAAAGACAAACCCCTGGGCCCTGGGTGAGATTTCCAGCCACAGAATAACCACCTGTGAAGCAGCCCACCTATGGACGTGCCTAAGTCATTTTGAAACAGGGCTTTGATTCCTTGAAGCTGTCGAGCTCCTAATAGACACCTTTGATCTGGTCAGAAACATGGCCCCTGTCTGGCCGCCTTGGACCTGAGTTCCGGTGGCTGATGCTGTTTGCCCGGCCCTGGGCTCTGCTTCCTTCGTGACAAGCTCCCATTATCCAAGCACTCACTTGGAGCTGGCTCCTGGTAATTCACCTCTGAGGTTAGCCAGTTTCTGAAGGGCCCTCAGGTCACTGCCATAATAGAAGTCGCTGAATACCACTCCTCCCACACTCCGCTCTTACTTTTGTTTTCAAAAGCCTGACTCTGCCAAAGGCAATTATGCCAGGAGGTGACAGGCTGTTACTTTGGAGCCAGGGTGAAGAAGTGGGAAGGGGTGGAGAAGAGGCCATCTTATTTGTGGTCCTGGGGATTAAACCCAGAGCCTCCCACAGGGTAGGCAGGTGTTCTAACCCTGAGCCACATCCCTGGTCCTTTTAATTTTATTTGGAGGGAGGGTCTTACTGAATGTTGAGGTTGGCCTCAAATAAACTTGCAATCTTCCTGCCTTAGCCTCCTGAGTTAACTGGGATTACAGGTGTGTGCCACCATGCCAGGCCAATCTCACTTATCTTTGACAACAGGATGACGAAAAGTCAGAAAGTTCTTCAGGTGGGCTAGCCAAACCAGTGGGATCTAAGCTGGCCACCAGACTGACCACCAGACAACCTCTGACTTCATAGAGTTCCATCTGCATGGTAAATGACACACTCCGGTGCCATGACAGTTGCCAATTGCCATTTGAGGACCAGAAAGAATCATAAAAGGAGCATAAAAGGGGGTGCCTGAAATCCCCAAATCTCTGCCCATTCCCAGAAAATATATGAACGTTCCTCTCCTTTATTAACTAATCCCTCCCCCTTTTCTTTTTCTTTTTTTGGTACCGAGGATTATACTCAGGGGCACTTGGCCACTGAGCCACATCCCCAGCCCTATTTTGTATTTTATTTAGGGACAGGATCTCACTGACTTGCTTAGCACCTCGCTTTTGCTGAGGCTGGCTTTGAACTCACAATCCTCCTGCCTCAGCCTCCTGGGCCACCTGGGATTATAGGCGTGTGCCACTATGCCGGGCTCCCCCTCATTTCTTTTTCCATATATCTATGACCTCCTGACCCCCCCCCAAGGATGGAGAAGTTGATTTGTGAGTTTATCCCCCCACACACTTTCCTGTTCTTGCCCCCAAACAAACCTTCCTTTATTGTTCAGTGAGCACTTGGTCTTGTTATTAGTTCCATAATTTCAGGAGGGATAAAGGACCCAGTTTGGGATTAAAAAATAATTGGTATCAGAGGTACCCCATCTTAGCCCAGCAACCACTGCCCCGGCTTTATCCAATAACAGCTGAGAGTTCCCATCAGCCTTAGGGAAAGTCGGGTGATGTGCCTGGGTGGCAGAGGACGGAGCCACCACAGGCATGAATCTCCCCCGTTTTACAGGTAGACATGGGGCCTTGGCAGGGGGAAGCCCAGGTCCCACGGCTCCTGAATGGCATGGCTGGAACTCAAAGCCAGGGCTCTGCAAAACCGATGAATCCTCACGACAGACAACAATGTCAGGAGGTCACTGTTATTGTCTTCGTTTTATCCCCATAAGGAAGCGGAGGCTCAGGTCAACATGCCCTGGGTGTGTGCACTCCTGACCGTGAGGGTTGGGACTTGAACTGAGCTCTGTCTGACTTGAAAGTGACCCATTACGTTAGGTTCATCTGTTTGGGTCTTTTTTCCTCTTCGGCACAGTCAATGTGATCTCCTACTGTGTGCTGGGCTCCTTCCTCACGTCGGGTTTCCCTTTCGTGTTCAAATGGAGGAAAATCAAGTTTCTTGCTCCTGAGAGCAAACTCATACCCACCACACATACGTTAGAGTTCTCAGGACCCGCCCTGGGAGCAGGGTGGAATTCTTCTCATCTTACGGAACAGGAAACTTAAAGACTCAGAGGAGTGATTACCAAACAGTAGCCCTAAGTGCCAGTGCAGGCTTCGCTCAGGTCGGGAGGATCCCAGAGCCACACAAGGGCGAAAGCTTCAAGCTGCCACCAGGAAGCAGGTGGTAGCTGGCCTCATGCCAGACCCCTCAAGTCTGGGGCAGGTGTGTTGGAGACTCCTCTCTGGGTGGTCACAGGAGCCGTGGTGGTCTGGGCCCCGGCTGGGGCTACTTTTCATCTGAACACACTCCCTGATAGCCACCAGCCCTGCTGGTTAGGTGAGGGTGCAGGCCTGGGAAAAGTGGATGCCAACATATTTGGGATGATGTTGGTGACCTTAGTAGATCACCTCTGCTCTCCCCGATTTGATGAGTCATATGCCACGTAATGACATTTTGGTCAACAAAGGACAGAATGTGTGCTGGTGGCCATCCACCCAGCTTGGGCTCGCAGTAGGCTATGCCATTGAGTTTGGGGCAAGTGCACTCTGTCAGTCCTCCCTATGACACTCCCAGAAAGTAGCACCTATAACCATTTACGCAGCGAACACACTTACCACCACCCCTCAGAGGGTCTGTCCATCCCAGGCAGCTCTGACTCCTTGCAAGCCCTTCCTTAGTCTCATACGTTCTTAGTAACTCAATTAAATATTTCTGGAAGTACAATCGGGCGGCCTCTGTTAAAACTACAAGTGCTCATGGTCTTTGTCTCCACCCCTCCACTTGAACTGCTCTGTCCTGTAGCTCCATCCATGCACGTGGACATATCTACAAGGATGCTCATTGCTTCCGTGCTTGAAATATCTGGACACAACCTCAAGGTCAGTCAGGAAGGGACCAGTCAAACAGGTGTTGCCACATCTATTTAATAGAATATAATGCATTCAGTGAATGAGGACAATTTACATGACTGAGGGGAAAAGCCCTCTGTGATGTACTATTAAGTGAAAAGAGGGAAGATACCCAGGAAGAGGCAGAGAGTCTCATTTTTAAAGTAGATTCCTAGAGAAAAGCAGAAAATAATTGGTAGGGAAACAGTTTCACTTTAACCATTTCTCTACGTGTTAGCAGGTACTTCTTAAATGGTATTTATTGAAAACAAAACAAAAAGCTCTGTCTCCAGCTGGGTGCAGTGGCCCACACCTGTGATCCTAGCATCTTGGGAGGCTGAGTCAGGAGGGTCGTGAGTTCAAAGCCAGCCTCGGCAAAAGCGAGGCACTGAGGAACTCAGTGGGACCCTGTCTCTAAATAAAATACAAAATAGGGCTGAGGATGTGGCTCAGGGGTTGAGTGTGTCTGAGTTCAATCCCTGATACCAAAAACAAACAAATAAACTCTGTCTCCATTGATCCTGTCTTTTCATCTCTGGGGCTGTGGTAAAGCCCCAGGCCTGGAGCCCCAGTTGGTTTTCTGCTTTGTAACGTTGTTGTTAGGATGTCCCTGAGCAGAGACCCTGTGCCCAGGTCTGTGTCCCGCATGGGGCGACCCCATGGCTCCCCACGTTCTGTGCCTTCTATCTCTCCATCTACGTCCCCAGGTTTACACCTGGCTCCTAAAGGTCATCTCATTTCCAGAGCAGAAGTCGCTGCAGTCCTGAGAACCCCGGAGCTGTCAGTGGAAGCCCCCGCAGAGATGCTCCCACCCCGCCTGTCTCTCCCAGCTGGGCTCTTTGGGAAATACACTGTTCCTCCGAGAAGCTCAGTGTCTTTACTTGTAAAGCAAGGAATCCTGCCTCTCAGGATTCAATGGCTGGGACACATGACAGTATGTGACTCCTGTGATGATATGTCAGGGCACTGAGGCATGAGCCGCAAGAGGTGGAATGTCAGGAACTGTAATGGGCACCCGGGGAGGTACAGGGCGGGGTGGGGGGGTGCACTTTTGGACCATCTCATTTCACAGCTGTGGGCCACAGCCATCTTCTCCAACCCAAGAATCCAGCCCGTCTCTCTTTGCAAAGGAAGGTGTGGGGCGGAGATGATCTCTATTTCGAATGCTTGGCGCATGGCTGGTTTCCCTCCATCCTGCTCATGGTGCATGCTGGGGTCCTGGACAAAACTGAATTGTTGCCTTAATCATGGATCATTTCTGGAGATGCCATTGTTTTTATCTGCCTTGCAGTTGACTATAACTGTGGCTCCTTTCCTTTGTAAAGCGAGTGCAATTCATGTAAGATATTTATTGAGCGTCAACTAAGTGCCAAACTGTTCACAAGCCGTTCATGGGTTGCATGTGGGTCACTGCGCATGGAAGCCTTGTGGATAGAGACATCTGGTGTCTGGGAATAACCAGTGGACATTTCCTCTGGCCAATTGTCCAGGGACAATGTGAATCTCTTTCCCGCCCTGCTGTGGCCCGCACTGCACCTGACATAGGTGTGACCTGCCAAGAAGTCAATCAGCCTGCTGACTGTAAGACTTCAGGAAGCAAGACTCTGCCCTTGAAACCTTATCTCTGCCTTTGAGGTACCCTTTAAATAAACCACTGTAGCCATTTTCCCTTTGTCTAGCTCCAGAACCCATGTGGACTAGATCTATTAGGAGCTTCACATTATGTAAACATATTCCTGAGTATCTGTGTTTTGTTACATATTAATTATCTGAGTTTGTAAGTTTTAGGATGGCTTGGATTACTGGGTAGAAAGAAGGACCCCTTATTGAGACGCTGGCCATCATTTCCCTCCCCTGAAACCAGACCCAAGACCTGTGATATAAGTTCAATCTGCATGATGACAGCATTTTGACCCTTTTCTGTAGACCCTTGGCCCTGTCTCTTTTCAGGGACAGGAGGGGGACAGCTGAGTGCCCACCTTTGTTTCTACAAGCTTGACAAATGACATTTATGTCAGGTGCTGACTGACTACTCAGCCCAACCACATGAGCCTTAGCAAGACTCCTTCTGCCCTGTTCCTGGCTGGAGTCCCAGCTCTCCTGAGAAGATGCTCCACCATCATCTTGCTTTGTAGACCAAGTCCCCTTCCATGGGCCCCAGATGTCCCATTTGTACAAAGACCCAGTGGGGGGGAGAGTCTCTGCTGGCCCATGGGCATCTCTGTCAGCACAGTGCTCTCTGGGTTTAGCAGAATATTCTACTTATGTGACAGTGACCAAGTGACTTCACCTTCCTGTGCCTCAGTTGCCTTCTTGGCAAAATGAGTGTGATAATTTACTAGAGTTGAGAACAACCTTATAGTGCCTGGAGTGAAGTAGGCACTATATGTGAGGCGCTTATCCTCATTTTCACCATCATCATCATCACCACCTTTATTATCACCGCCACCATTATCACAACCATCATCATCACCACTACCACCATCATTATCCATACCATCATTACCACCACCATCAGCAACGACAGCAGCAGCATGACCACAACAGTCATTATTACCATATCATCATCACTACCACCACCGTCATCACCATCACCATTATTAGCATCACCACCACCATCACCACCATAATCTCAGTCAGCACCACCACCATCATCACCATCACCATTATCACCACTACCATAACCACCATACCACCATCATCATAGTCATTGCCCATCATCATCACTACCACCAGCATCATTATAATCATGACCACCATCATAATCACCACCATCATCAACACCCTCATTACAGTCATGACCACCATCACCACCACAACCATCGTTACCACCATCCTCATCATCTAACCCCGTTAGGTTGCTGGTGGATGATGCTGGTGTGGGAAAATCTGCCCAGAACAGGACAGCTTGACACCTGGGTACAAGCCCTTGCTTAAGCCAGTTCCTGCCTCTTCCCCAACCTTAATAATCCTCATTCCAAACATGGAGGGATCTGTCCTGATGGTTGGTGCAAGGGATGTATCTCGTGGTCAGAGACTAGACCCTTCTCTGGGTACAGATGGAACCTCTGGCTCTGTGGATTTCCAAACATATTCTTTAAATGTTGGACTCCAGGTCAGATTTCACTCTTTTCTTCCATGAGGTCATGTCCTCAGTTAAAGGCAGTCTGGTTGATCTGAATCAAAAAAGAAGGTTCAAAACAAGGTAGGGCAAGAGAGAAATCTGGACCCACAAGGTTCTCAGGTTGAATTTCTTACCGATGTAGCCCAACTTTGTAACCACCCATCCCCCGAGGTAGACAGGAGACACACTGGGGGAAGGAAAGGAGGGGAGGGGAGGACAGAGCAGGGAGGAGGAGGAAGGCGAGGCCAGAGCAGGAAAGGCAGAGAGGATGCGGAGAAGGTAAAGGGAAGAGGTCCCTACGGTTTGCCTCTCTTACTAGAGAAGCATTGTCTCTGGTTACTGAGAAATCAGATAAGTGTGTACCTTCAGGACACTCTTCCCTACCCACTTGTCATCTGTGTTTGTATATATCTGAGTGCTTGTGACTGTGTGGGCTTGAGTATGCGTCTTCCTGTGTGGGGGCGTGTTGAATGTGTCCCTGTGTACTGTGTTTCCCACATTCGTGGACGGTGGCTGGCTAGATGCTCCATCAATGTTTGGTAACCCTGTGAATGTGTGCAGGAGTGTAGGTGTGTACTTGTGGGAATTTGCATATTGATGCACATACGTGGCTGTGTGCATTTCTGTGTGTTCACCTGGATGTGCCTGTCTGTGCTCTGTGGCGGGTGGTGTGTGGTCTGTGTGTCCCTGGGTATGTGTCCCGGTTCAGCAGGCCAGCTGGTGCATTTAGAATGTGAGTGCGGGTCTCCTGTGTGCCCTGAATGGCTGAGTGAGGGAGCAGGCCCTTGGGTGATGGCAGGTGTGGCTGTGTGCATGTGTGTGCATGCATGTGTGCTAGGTGGGGGGTGCCTGAGCACCTGCATGTGCAGGGAGCTGGTGGTCTTGGGTTGGTTTTCCCTGCCCTGAGTCAGCAACTGCCTGTGGTTTATCTAGATGGTCAGTTCCCACTTCACTACGTGGGAGGAGTAAGGGTTTCTGGCAGCCTTTACTGGTTCTCACCCACTGTGGTTATTTCTGTTTCCTTTGTGGGAACGAAAGGGCACATGTTTGCAGGAGCTGGTCTGTGTTTCCTTACTCTGGGCCTGGAGGCAAAGACCACGACTCTGGTTCCAAGGAGGGAGTCCCTGTTGTGTCCCCTCTTACTGCACTCCTAGTTCTCCTGGTGTGCAGTGGGGAAGGGTCCCTGCCCCAGGCAGGTGAGCTGCAGAACCTGCAGGAGGAATGGATGGGGCAAGAGACAAGGAGGCACCACCTGAGTCTAGGTACTGCTTCCACCCTGGGGTGACTACTAGGCTTTGGACAAGTTGCTAAGTGAATGAGACTCTTGATACCAAGGTTTCAGTGAGCATGACCCATATCCTTGAAGGCATGTAACAGGTGCTGCCAGGGCCCTCTCCTGCAGTCCTCTCTGCCTGGGCACCTGTTGCCAGACTCTAGGAGATCTGGCTTCCAAGGTCACAGCTGCCCCGTTCTTTAGGGAATTGTTCTGGGCTGACTGGAAGTTGCTTTGCCTTGGAGGTCAAGTCTGCCCCAGGACACTGAGTACCTCTCATCTCAAGATGGAATTCACACTTTAGAGAGCTCACCGTGATGTCGGGATGGCTAACAGCAACCAAGATCCCAGCCTTCCCTAGAAGGTCTTTCCCTGCCCCTGCCCTGCATCCTCGGCCCCCCCCCCATCAGGAGAGCACGCCCTCCCTCCAGGGAACCCCAGAGTCAACAGCAAGCACTTCCCTGGCCTTGTCTCATCTCATACACCCAGAACCCCAGGAGCTTGCTATGAGTCAGCTGTTATCATTCCATTTCATGATGAGAAATGGAGGTCAGAGGAGGATTAAATGAACTAATGGAGAAGAAAGTGCTTAGAATGCATTGAGAAGCCCAAGAACTGGGCCTGGCAGGCCACAAATAGCCCATCAGCAATTTCCTATGTTCCCCAGCCCTCCGGGTTCTTGAGATTGAAGGGAAACCTGAAGCTCATCTGGCACACCCACCAATGCCAGTCTCCCCTCTAGACACCGCCCACTTCAGGCAAGTGTTCAGTCTGTATTTTAACGCTTCTTGGGGATGGGAGCCTCACTCTCTTCAAAGAAGCATCTTCTACTTGTAGGCAGCTTAACTCTGCCTTTCATTCATTCATTCAGCAAGTGTTTTTTAAGCACCTACCATGTGCCAGCCCTTATACAAAGCTCAGAGGGTGCAGGGCTGGTGAAGAGAGAGGACCAATGAGAAACAGGCACAGAAATAAAAATGTGACCTTGAGTCAAGTTGAAGGAGGGGGACAGGTGCCTGGAGGGCTTCTGGTGCCGAAAATCTAGCCTCACTTAAGGAGGTCAGGAGGCTTTGCTGAGGACCTGATGGCTGAGCTGGTATCTGAGGATGAGTGGGAAGTAATGAGGGGGTGAGAGAAGGAAAACTGTCCAAGAGAGCAGGAATGGCATGTGCCAAGGGCTGTGGCAGGCAGACACAGAGAGTGACCTGAATGTAGCACTTAAGGAACCAGAGAGAGGGCTCAGAGCACAGGCTGGAGGGGGATGGCTGGGAAGAGGGCATGTCCCAAACCAGCTACCACCTGAGAGCAGCAGAGGCCCTCCTCCTCCCAGATCCTCAGGGCCTCGTCTTCCAATTGTTCTCATGACAAAATGACCACTCTGCCGGTTCTCAGCATTCCCGTTCCCACCAGGATTCCTGTGCAGGCTCCAGCAGGTCCCCTCTGCACACTGCTCACCCCAGGTGACTCAGAACGCAGGCATCTGAGGATCTCAGACACACCTAGAAGTGACTGCTGCCACCACAAGCTGTATCAGTAATAAGTATCAACAGCATGAAGGTGACGAGGTGGCACCAGGAACAGAAAGGCAAGTTTCTGGGAGTCAGAAGAACCCCTGGGGTTCTCCTCTGGGGCCCCCTCACTGTCTCCCTGGGTCCCCCCCCACCCCCGGCCACACATGTGCATTTCAGGCCTGAGTGGAAACACACAGCCGTGGGGCGCTCTGGGGTTCTGGTTTGTCTGAGCAGGAGGAGGAAGGGGAGGGTGTAGCTCTGGAGGCAGAGGAAGAAGAAGGCCCCTTGGGAACAGATGGGTCTGTAGAGCGCTGACCAGGAAACCTCCGCCTCAGCTCCCCTCACCCTGCCTTTTCCCCAGTCCCCACTTCCTCTCCTGGGCCCCTGAGCTCCCAGCATGCCTTGCAGCAAACCCTGCTGAATAATGAGGTTTTGGACTGATGACTAAGGGTGTTTTAACATAGGTGATTGTAAGTTCTATTTCAAACATTTTATATGTGCACACACCTCTAGATGCCCACCCAGAGACACCAGCTGTGTGCATATTCAAATGTGCCACAAACACACAGGCATGCACGCATGATTCCAACCCAAGCCTGATCAAACATAATCATCAGGATTATCAGAGGAGCCTGTCCCTGGCCACAAATATCAGTTCAGCTCATGTCTTCAGGGAGCCCCAGGAACCTGCCCCGTAACAAGGAGTGGAAGGAGATTAATGGCTGCCCAAAGATGTTCACACCTTAATCCCCAGAACCCATCAAAATGTAACATTACATGCCAGAGGGCAATTGAAGGAGTGGATGGAATTAAGGCTGCTTGTTG